ACAAAAAACTATGGATGCCGGCCATGAAAGCCTACAACTATGGTAGTCATTTTAGCATTTTCTCCCCGAAACCTCCCAATTTTTGAAGGTTATTTGTAGTAGTAAGCCACGTGAAGAGGTCCATAGTATTTGTGGGAAGCTGAGAAATCAGGTCTGTCCTTCGTAGCGTAGAATCACAGTTATATGGAACCTCTGAAGAGCATCTTGTTATAGAATCATAGAACTGAAAGAGACCCCAAGGGGCATCCAACCCCATTTCCACCATGCAAGAAGACGCAATCCAAGCACACCTGGAAGATGCCTGTCCAACCTCTATTTAAATACCTCCAAAGAAGGAGACTCCAACACACCTCACAGTACCATAACCCAACCACCTGCTCTGGATCTGGATCTTGGAGGTCTTTAAGCAGAGGCTGGATGGCCATCTGTCATGCTTTGATTGGGAGTTCCTGCATGGCAGAATGGGGTTGGACTAGATGGCCCTGGGGTCTCTTCCAACTCTATGATCTCTAGCAAAATCTATTCCACTGTCAAACAGCTCACCACACCACTTTCAAAAGGCATTTCTGACTAATGGAAACTCTATTACAGGTTTTCTATAATAATAATAATAATAATAATAATTCTTATTCTTATTCTTATTCTTATTCTTACTCTTACTCTTATTCTTACTCTTACTCTTACTCTTACTCTTACTCTTAGACTTAGACAGACTTAGACTTAGACTTAGACTTAGACTTAGACTTAGACTTATTCTTATTCTTATTCTTATTCTTATTCTTATTCTTATTCTTAGACTTAGACTTAGACTTAGACTTAGACTTATATATATTCTATCTTCCTCTCAGTACAGGGACTTGAGGCAGCTAACAAAATTTAAAACAGCCATATATATGGGCCATTAAGAATACAAAGTTTTAAAAAAACCCAATTAAACAATTAAAACCTCACATTATTAAAATTTAAAACTCTTTAAAACAAAAACGAACCAGCACCCATGCCAATATGCGGAAGCCTGGCGGCATAAAAATGTTTTTATCTGCCGTCGAAAAGAAAGCATAAAAATAATAAAAGTTTCTTTCTTTCCCACCTCTCCTCAAGGCTCGAGGCAGGGTACAACATATTAAAATACGAAACACAATTTAAAACGCATAAATCCATAGTTAAAATGCTATTAAATCATTAAAATACATTTAGAGTACATATACAATTAAAAAGTAATGTTTAAAATTGACTGGGTAGGCTTGCCAGAAGAGACGTATCTTGGCAAGATTTGTTCAGAGGAGGTTTGCACTCTCTCAGCCTTCCTCTGAGGCTGAGAGAGTGTGACCAGTGGGTTTCCATGGCTGAGCCATGGCAGCTAAAAGGAGGACTTCAAGATGCTTAGAGAGGGCTTTTTCCACGCAGACATGAGTAAGTGAAACCATGGTTAGTGGTCCCATAGGTCCAGGGATCATATTGGATGTCCCTATAGCCGGAAGCAGAAGAGCAACATCATCCATTGAGATCTTTGGGTTTTCTCCAAAGCTCTTGGCAAATGATAGTATTGTTTTACTCCCAGCTATAGGGACATATCCATAATAATAATAATAATA